AATAATAATAATAATAATAATAATAATAGTAATAATAATAATAACAATAATAATAATTTTTGTCATACATTAGTTAACAAATTGTTTAAGTTATCTTTTAATAAAATTTATGTAAGCTAAAGAAAGCTTTTTTTTTCAGACAAATCAATTGCAAACAATTTTTCGTTGTAAATGATGATTCAGTAATGATTGTAAGTGCTTACTTACTTACTCAGTAATGATTGCAAATGGTAAAGTAAAACTACTTACTTTACTTCATACATTTGTCTGCTCATCTATGCATTAGTAAATGAATATACACTTACTGTATATTACATTTTTTTTCTTTTTAATTAAAAAAAAATTAACAAAGTTGTTTTTCTTTTCTGTTAATCATCAAAATATTATTTACAGTGATAGATTGTAAGCATTGAAATAGTAGCAGTTTGTGCGCGTTATAGCAGCAAGTTAAAAGTACTATCAGCAAACTGAAGTTCTTAGTAAAACTTGAAGTTCCAGTTTTGTCACTTTGCATTTTGTCAACGATAATATTAGCATTTATCAATAAAAATTTGTCTACTTTCGGCTTACTGATCAACATTCATTTCCTTTCCCTTTTACTTTGTAATCATTTTTTTTTTTTTGATTTGATTTTGTATACTTATACATTTGTATAAATGTATGTATGGGTGTGTACTCAAATTGTCCATTGAATTTACACAACTAAAATTTAGTATAAATATGTTTGAAGCAAATCATTTCATGTTTATTCATATTTTAGAAAATTTTAAGACAGTATTATATTAGTTAATAATAATTTATCGTTCTTTTTTTCTTTTATATGTTTTTTTTTTTTTTTTTTTTACAGGATTTGCAAGAAAATCATGCAATTTGCAATCATTTTACTTACTTTCGTCATGGCTTCGGCCAGTAAAATTGTAAGTTTTGAAGAAAAAAAAATCATCTGTTATTGTTTTTGTTTCAAAATAAAATTTTATGCGAAAAAATTTTATTGATTAACAAAAATTGGATTGCTATAAATTCAAGAATAATTGATTGAATGAATTATAAATCGAACGTTAACTTTCTTTTAAAATATAATTTTTAATTTTCCATTTCCATACATTTTACCCGATGCATCACTAATACAAAAATTAAACAGTAAGTGTCATTATATATTAAAACATATCAAACATAAATCATTGTGTGTTGCTATCTTTAAATTAGATCTTTGGTTAGTTTGTGTGAAACTGGGAAAAAAAGTCCTTACAAAAATAAGGTAGATTTTGAAAATTTAATTTTCAAATTCATTCTTAAACTAAATTTGCTATAGCAATAATGGTTTATTTGCGCTGTTGTAATTCAATAAAATAAATGGTTTAAAGTTATCAAATTAAACTAAAACGGCAATTGACTACAATTAATTTACGCATTATATTATAACAACTTCATAATATATTATTTCGCTATCAATTGTTATCGTTTCTTTTTTGATATTATTCGTCGTATTTTAAAATTACTACCACCTATATTATCAAATGTTATCGTTGTAATGATAATTTTTAATTATCACTGGCTAAATTACAAAACAATAGCTAAATCGTTAAGATAATTAATAAATTATATCAACATAATATCTGCCTGTCCTATCTTCTTCCATATTTGCTAAATTTTCAGATTAAATCATAAATTATTATTTGGAAACGGTATAGAAAAAATTTCCTTTTTTATTATTATTATTTCTAAATTTTAAAATTTCTTCATACCTTTACAAAAGAAAGAGAATAAAATTGCAGCAATTGGAAAAGAATGCCGAAATGTCGCATAAACTTGTCAAACGACAATGTTCATGTCAACCATCATCTTGTCGTTGTACATCAATCCAATTAGTATTGCAAATTTCGTGTTTTTGTCCACAAACTTGCAAATGTCCATCACCCATTCCACCACCATATCATCCTCCCATAACTTATCCCATACCAACGACAACGTTACCACCTGTCACGTACACGTTACCTCCAATTACACCTGTCCCTGTTGTACCCGTAGGACCAACTCAATCTCCTTACTGTTGTATTCTATTCATTTGCGCCAGTTGTGGCTCTTATGGTGGTACATATGGTGGAGTAAGCTTTAAATGTTACATAATTAAAAGCGATTAATATCAAAATAATTTTTCAGATTAGAAGTACAATTAATTCTCTCATTTCTTGTTAAAGTAATTAAGCTAATTATCAATAATAATTACGGGAGATATTACATTATTGATAAGTTTTTTTCCCTTTTTTCTTTATTGTCTTTCTTTTTTGAAAAATATTGTTGAAATATTTGAGTGAAATAATTTGATATATCATATTTAATTTCAGCTACAACCATCATCACAATACAGCCCTCCATCCAGTCAATACTATTTACCACCCTCTACTGGTTATCAGTACCCACCACAATCTCCATCAGTTTATCAATATCCAGTCGTAAAACATTATCAACTTCCTACTGGTCAAACATCATACGGTTATCCAACTACAACATCAACATGTTCCATTGGTTTTACCATATGCTTGGGTGGAAGCTTTTGCTGCAAAAATTGATCAATTGCCAAAATTCGAAATGGATAATCGAATAACTGATATGATGGTGCTTGAATTGAAAAATTCTTTCAATTTTTTTTCTAATGCGCTCACATTTTTCAAGGCTTATTACTTAATATGTATTTTTTTTTTAAAATAATTTTATCAATTCTTTCTCCTTTTTCTTGTTTATTGTACAACTTAGAAAAAAAGAAAGAAATTTAGTTTTTTTTTTTTCGTGTCACAAAAACCGAATGAAATTAATATATTTTAAAAAGTATTGATTAAGTGATTATTTTGAATTTATTTTAATTGCAATTTTAAAATAGCTTCTCAATCTATTGATTCAATTTTTTTTCGTTTTAACATAACTTTTTTTTTTGAAATGAGATACATCTTAGTTGGTCAAAAGTTTGAAATTTGATCAGTAAGATTTAAAATGCAACATTCCAGTTCAATTACTAATTTTAGAATCCAAGTCATCACTGTAAGTTTATAAATTAGAATTACACCACACCATTCTCCTGAAAGATATCGAGAAATGAATATGGAAAATTTATTTGGCGAAGAATGAATAAATTAATTAATACATATCATTTATTATATATATATATATATGTATATATATATATATAAATTAGATATAATTATATGCTGACAAAAAAAGAACAAAAAACTCACATGTGGTTTTTTGGATTATGATAATTAATTCAATACAAGAATGTAATAATTGGCGCATAATTGAGTGAAAAAATTAGTCATATTTTAAATAGGAATGATAAAAATATGGAACAATATCGGTATATATGTAAAAAATTAAAAATGATGATAATTAACTTAGCATAAATTATGCAAACGGATTCGTTAAATTCAAAAATTATTGCATGTTTTATATTTGTTTCTGCTACGAAATTGTGCAGCATAGTATTTTTTTTCGGAAAACATTGTTTTTATTTTTTGTGAAAAAAAGTGAAATGCACAAAAGTTACAATTTTATAAAAAAAAAGTTCAAATTGAATTCATAATTTTTATTTCCATTATTACTAATATTGTATGGAAACAATATATCTGAAACAAATCATTTCTTAATGTTGCTTGTTGTAAAACTATTTATCTTTGACACTGCCATTAACATCCTAGTGATGATTAGCTTATAAAGATTAAGTTAGGCTTATTCGGATATGCTAATTTCTATGCCCAAAATTTTAGGTTATTGCAAGCTATTCCACCTTAAATATGATTTATACAATGCTACAATTGTATTATCATAATTTAATTATTACAATTACCACAATTCACCATCTGATTGTTATCAAAATTACTAGAATTCATTTTTCAACCATTAACTTTCAATTTCTCTTCATGTATTCATTATAATTATAAAGTGAAGTCTGTGAATGTACGCTTGGAATCGAAAAATAAAGCATAACTTCATATGTTTCCTTAAGATGGCATTTTAATCTTTTGTAATACAAATTTCAAAAATTAATTTAAATGAAACCATATCGTCATAGTCATAGTAAGAAACCATATCGTCATAGTCATCTAATAACCTTTTTTTTTTTCGCATTCCAAAAAAAATATTAGAAAAAAAAGGCAATCAAGCGAACGATGTTTGTTCCTTGCTTTTGCAAAAAGAGATAGATTGGTAAACAAACGGATAGTATACAAGATTAGGAATAATAAACAAACCTATAACTTGACGAAATTCAAATGAAAAAATACAAAAGATGGAAATGTTGTATTTGAAAATCGATTTGTTTTTTTCCTAAAGTATAAATTTTTGAAATTGAATTACATCGATTTCAAAATTTTTTCAGTATCATATTATTTGACGCAGATAAATAAGGAAAACCTTCAATTAGGATAACCTTTAACTACTATTTGGTGATTAAATGATTATGAATAAATGTTGTTTAGGCTTTTTTTAACCAGCAAATATTATTGAAGAAGTAAGGGGAAAACGATTCTAAACTATTCTATTTCATTACTCTGTTTATTATATTCCAATTATTGTGACCGAAAAGGTATACATTTATGAATATTGTGTATGAATGGAATAAAATAAAATTATATAAGATAAAGGATAAAAGATAAAAACAAAAAGATAGTGGGAAATACATCGAATATTCACCTAATAGAGTGTGACAGTGTGGGACAATCGCTTATATAAACTGGGTTAATTGATTTTTCTATTCAAGAAATATATATTATATTTTTTTTCTTTTTTTTTCGCAAGAAAAAGTAAGGGATGAATCAATTCCTCCATGCTCGCTTCTACTTTTCATGATACTTTCCACTACAACCGTTAATTAAGCAAAATATCATTGACGAAATGATTATTCAACTTTTGCTAAATGAAAATGTGATGACAGTTGATGATTCATCTTACTTTTTGACACTTCATATTGCTAACATAAATGTAAATTGAGTTGAAATTTTTTAAATAAGTGAAAAAAAAATGTAGATTTGCAGAAATATCAAAAAAAAGAACTTATACCATCTTACAAATTAAACATTTTTTACTTTTTCATTTTTTATTTAAATATGTAATATGAAAATAACAATGTTAAAAAAATATGCCAAATTGCTTCTTTTTAATCATTAAATGAAATCATTTCAATATAATGAGATTAGGGTTAATTAATTATTATTATCTTATAAATATTTTCTAAAATATGAACAATATTCAATATTACTGATTTTACTATTCTTTTTCTCTTTCTCATTTTTTGAGATTTTTTGAGCCTAAAAATTTCTTTAAAAAACATTGAAATTTTACAGAAGATTGCTCTTCTTCTTGTCTTCGCCTTACTAGGATATACAAATGCTTGCTTTGGTGGTGGATATGGAGATCAAACACAATGTTGTTGCTTGAAATTACCACCGATCTGTTTACCAATACTAAATCTAGGCGGTTGCTGTGGTGGTTGCTGTTGTCCAGGACAAGGAGGTGGCGGTGGTATTGGTGGCGGGTATGCTTTATTATAACTTTATTTCAAATTATTGAAAGTAATTATCACTCTAAAAGAAAAAAATTAGCAATTTGCTACAATTAATCTATGATAATACTTGTATGGTGCAAAAATTTCACAGTTTAAGGTCAAGGAAGGGGACTTTTATGATTTAAATCAAATCTTTTCCTTATAGCTAAATTATCATTTGTAATTAAAACTTTTAATTTGATGGATATGATTAAGTTTTGCTAATACTTCTTCTGATATAAACTTCGCCAAACTGACATTTTCACCATTTTTTTGTTTTGAATTTTGTTTGATGCTCAACTTATAATATCACACATGATTAAAAAAATAACTGAAATCTATAAATACCATTTGGGAAACAATTTTTTATCAATTAGACCAATTAGATCGCTTTAAATTTCGAAAAAAAGTGAAAATGGTTTGTTTGTTTTTTCATTGATTTACCTGAACGAGTGGGTGAATTATGGATTCTTGGTGATGTATTCATCGGTCATTACTATACCGTATTCGATGTTGGAAATTCTCAGATAGGCTTTGCACAGGCTCGTGATAGCAATGGTAAACCAATAGGTAAACGAGTTCATACGTTTGTATCACAGGAACAACGAACAGTAACAACTACCACATGAATCAATAATTATCGTCTCATTATAATTACGATTTAATCGAAATTTAAAACTTCAAATTCAGTTAAAATCAACAATCTTTTCATGCATTAATTATAAAATTTGTGACAAAATTTAGCTATTTTTGATAAAAATTCACACAAATAAAGAAAAAGTTCAGATAAGAACAAGTAAATAATTATCCTTAATGATATAAGATCAACATGAAGAAGAGGGAAGAAATGACAAATGATAATAAACGATATTTATCAAACATTAAATTACAACTAAATCGATTCATTCGTTTGAAAAGTTTGTTTAAACAGGAAAGCAAACAAAAGAAATTTAACAAATATATACC